TTTTTGCTTCTCGAGACAGGGTTTCTCTGTGTAGCTTTGTGCCTTTCCTGGAACTCACTTGGTAGCCCAGGCTGGCCTCGAACTCACAGAGAGTCGCCTGCCTCTGCCTCCCGAGTGCTGGGATTAAAGGGGTGAGCCACCACCACCTGGCTCTGTGTGTGTGTTTCTTTCTTTTTCGGGGTAAGGACACAAAGGTGGGAGGGTGAACCTGGGAGGAATGGGAAGCGAGTGTGAACGGGGTGCACTGTGTAAAATTTCCAAATAACCAACAAAAATATTATGTTGGAAAAAAGACCTTTACTATAAATGTATGAATTCTCAGAAAAAATTAGGTGGGAACTGATCATCACACCAGTGACCCCCAGAAAGAGATCTCTATATGGAAAGTACCATGGAAACTGAAGTTGCAGAGAAGGTTCAAGAATCCTGTGCTATCTCCAGTGCTGCCTTAATAAAAAAAAAAAAAAATGCTCATCTCTGATGATACATAATGATGATGCATAATAATGATGCATCTCTGATGACCTAATGATACAGATTTTGCTCTTACTCCATGTCTCTTCTCCCAGAGCAAGAAAAGTAATTCAGATGCATATTCTTGATTCAATCAACTTTGTACAGTTACCTTGCTCAAAATGGTTGCTAATGGCTGAGCCTTAACTCTGAGGAAGAAGCTGAACAAATAGATGCATTCATCCCCATCCATTCTCCTCTGAAAAACTCATAAATCGTTGAGGCATATCTACTTTTACTTATTACATAGTTCTGTCACTAAAAACCAATCTGTCCTTCTTTTAAAATTACTTTTATCCATTTTTCTGCATTCTGAATTCATTAGTCACCAAAATGACAGTTTTAAAAAGAAATCTTTCTGTTTAAATTTTCATTTCTTTAATTGCCAATAAATTGTTTAAACTGTTTCTTTTTTTCTTTTTAGTGTTGCAGGCCATTACTCATTCAGTACTTTGAGTCTGTAGGAATCGGCACATGCTCTGCCCCACTCCCTTTCATTTGCTCAAGTCCTAAGTCCAATGTGACTGTGTGGAGACAGAGCTTTTAAAAAGGCAATTACGGTTAACTGAAGCCCCAAGAACAGGTCTCTAATCCATGTAATAGGATTGGTCTTGTAAGAAGAGAAAGAGACACCAAGGATGGCATTCATAAGGCACAGAGGCGTGGGCCTATGAAGGCAGCTGTTGCAAACCAGAAATACCCCAGAAGAGGCCAAACCTACTGATGCCTTGATCTTGAACTTCCAACCTGCAGAACTCTGAGAATCTGATGTTGTGTTAGACATCAGTGACAGCCCAAGCCTATTGACAGTTTATATCTGTGTTCCTTATCTATTTTGGGGTGGGGTAGGGGTGGGGAGGAGAGAAGGCAGCACTCTAAATATCCTTGCATACATCGTATTACAAACACTTATTTCCCCTCTTCTTGTTTGTTTTTGGTTTACATTCTTACAATTTTTTAGTGTATTCATTTTTCCCCCAGACTTTTCCTTTATGGTTGCTTCAATGTTTGAAATATGCTTAAGAGAAAAAGGCCTTTCATTCCTCAGAATTACATATAGGTACATATTTCTTCATTTTTTCCCGTTTGAATGTTATTTCCAGTGTATCACATAATATTTAGTTCAATTTCTTCAATACAGCTGGCCAATTATACAACTTAATCATCTTTCCACCAATTTGAAAGTTTTATAGTCCTCTAAATACACTTAAAACTTCTATTGTTTTCTCTCTTTTTGGCCGATGACATCATTCATTCATTAAAGGCACTTGATTCCAAGCCTGAGGACCTTTCAGTCCCTGGGATTCACCAACAAGAAAAAACAATTTTTCGAGATATTTTAATTGTCTAGAGTTGTAAAATCTGCATATATGTATGTGGAAGAAAGTTTTAAAATTATAACAGTGTATATTCTCATCTGACAATCAACATCAGACTGAACAATTATGTTAACCTAATGATGAACCAAACGAAGAGATTACTGCCTAATCTAGCTGAATTAATGAATTATTTAAAAAACACCCAGTTTTTCAAAAGTTGAGGAAAAATCTCTAAGACTGTTGACTTTTTCAAGTTCCTATAAGAAACTACTTCCTACATTTTTCCCCCAAAATTTTTCTCCTCCCTATTCTGGTAATAATTCTAGTAGTAAACAGATCAGCTGTGGTCACAAAGACCACAGCTTGGTGATTAAGAAAATGACTATAGGCCAGGTGTGGTAGTTTTTCATCCCTGCACTCCAAAGGTAGAGGGAAAAGGGGAGGGGGGAGGAGAGTGAAAAGAGAAAAGGAAAAAGAGGGAGAAAAGGGAAGGGGGGGGGTATTACTATAATGGCGGGCCTTGAAGGGGTAAAGCTCAGTTTCTTGTTATAAAGGTTCTGTCAAGAAATGGGTCGAAATGGTTCGAGGTCAGTCTGGTAAACACGGTTAAGTTCCAGGCCAGCCAGGTTTACAGGCTGAGAACCTATCTGCAAAAACGGGCGAGGAAGGTATATATACCAGACAAGTTCAAGACATGCCTGTCACCACCCACGCTGAATGCCAGTGCTCAAGACCAGCATTACTCCAAGCATTTTAGAATCTGAGACTTGACGATCATTCCAAAAACTGTAGCGATGACCAGGAGCCATCCCTTATGTTTCCCGAGGGCCGACGGTCTACATACAACGGGCCATCGACATACAGCAGCTGAGAAAGAAAGAAAAATAATAACAACATTGTCCTGGAAAAACTAACCCGAAGAACCACACACAGGGTCCAAACTCTCTTTGGCAAAACGTGGTTTATCTCCAGAATCAAAACAAGTTAGTTGCGGGTAAAGAGGATGGGAGCCTGGCACCCTAGGAGGCCGACCTGCACCATAAAACCCAGGAAGACAGGGCTGCGGGGGTTGGGGGGGGGGTCACACACTCCGGAAACGGAGGCCACGTCCGCTTGATGCCCGAGGGATGAAGGGGTGGAGTTGGGGGGGGGAGGGAGCAAGGCCACGTGGGAGGCCCGCGCTCAAGACCCGGAGGCCAGGGTTGCCTGCCCAGGCTCCCGCAGGCCATGAGGACGACGGTCACCGCGTACCGACCTAGTCGGCCTCCTCCTCGCCGTCGGCCCGTCTCCACTCGGCAGCTGCACCCCGGAACGCGGCGGCCCCGCCGCTCCCATCCCGGCGTCCCCTGCGCCCGCCGCGCTCGGTAGCGGCGCGCGGGGAGCCCGGCGTCAGTCCCCGCCTGCCCGCGGGCATTGCTATGGCAACGCAGCTGCCCCAGCTATGTCGCTGCAACCCGCCCCTCCGTCGCGGGTGTTCATGGAACTGGTTCCCTGGGCTAACCTGGGCCGGGAAAACAACTCGATCTCGGCCTTGGAGGCGCAGCCCGTCGGCAGCCGCCCCCACGTCGCCAAGGCCCACTCCGGAGCCCGCGAGGTCCACGTGAGCGGCTCGGCCGAGGTGTCCGCCAGCCCCGACCGGGCGCAAGTGGCCGTGCGGGTGAGCAGCACCAAGGAGGCGGCGGCCGAGGCCAAGAAGAGTGTGTGCCGCCGCCTGGACTACATCACGCAGAGCCTCCAGCAGCAGGGTCTGCAGGTGAGCCTCCCCGGGGACGGGGACGGGGTGCAGAGCGGGTGACTCGGGAGCTTTGGGGATGCTTTTGTTACCCCAGTATTCATTCCCCGGGCGCAATGGATGCTCGAGCCTGCCTTCTCGAGTCTAAATGAAAGCAGTTATTGGCCGCAGTGAACTTGAAATCCCACATGCAGATTGGATAGGTTTTGTTTTTGTCTTTTTAATCTGGTCTCATTTGCTGCAGTGATTTTGTTTCTAAGCTTAGAGTGTTGAAATGTTTTCTTGAAAAGTTACATGTAAATGCTTGCCTAAGTAGAATGTTGGACCATAATCCCCTGTTGGGGGTTGTTTTTATTCTGCATGTTGAAATTGGCAGGTGAGGAGCTTGAACTGCTTGCTCCCGATCAAAGGTTCCTGTGGAGGGGATCTTCCGTGTAATTGCAGATTTGGCGTCCATTTCCGGTTTATGGTGATCACCTACCCTAAATTTACCAACTTTTTTAGTCTTCACCTTTTTTTTTAAAGTCAGTATATGTAGGTATCATAGGTGAAATGCTTTTTCTTCCTAGACACGCCCATGAAACAAATCACTGAATAGATAGTACCTTAAGCCCCCTTTAAGGAATGGGGCAAAAACGGAAATAGCGTTACTTACTCCACACTGAAACTCTGTTATGCATGTTTTAATATCCCCATTTTCCAGATTTAGAGAGATAAAATAATGCTCTGAACTTTAAGAACTTTATTTGAAATCCTATTCCTGAAACCACAATCGAGGTTGCTTTCAACTTTGCCGCACTTCAGATACTTACGATGAAAGAAACTTGGGAGCCACGGACAATCGTCTATCTCAGGGTTATCATTGTAGAAAACAGGGCCCTACCTGCAGGACCTGTGGTTTTCTGGGGTAACTGATTTGTTCAGAGTGAAACACAATCTTGCTTCTGTACCAGAAATGCCATACCTTCGAAAAACAGATCTTTATTTTTAAAAGAAAATAAAGTATTGCATTTTAAAAGAAATTTTGTATTGCATTCAAAACCAGAATAATTGAAATGACCTGGGCAAAAAAAAAAATCTCCTATAGTCCTGTTTGAATAATGTAGTTAGCATTTTATGTCGTTGACATAGAACATGATCTGAACCCATGTTTCTAACTCCTAATATGAAACAAAATAAATATAGTAATTACATTCAAAGTCATTGTTCAAGGCAAGGTACAGGAGGACTGTAATTTCCCAAATTGTCTTTACTAATGGAGGAAAGCACTCATACAGACAGCTTGCTCAACAGATGGTATAAAAATCATTCATAGTGCTCCTCAGGGTAAATTATGTTCTTCACAAAGTCCTTATAATATTATACATTTTAAACTTTGAAATATTGGCTTGTAAATATACACTCCTCTGATTAAAGAGCCCCTCCCAATTTCAACACTTGCTTAAGGGATGGAACCTGACTTTCTCATCCGTATTTCCTGACTTCTCTTCCTTCCTAATCTAGATGAATTCTGCTTTGTTTTTAAAGAACCAGACCAAAATCATATTCTTGGCATTCAGCACTAATCCCTTTTATACAATACTCCACTTTTTACTTCAAATGAAGTGTGTCAGTCTATTATAGTTTTTGATGTACTTATCTCTCAGAATGATTGCCATTTGAGTAATGCCCATATACATAATGCATGTCATGAAAAATGCTTTCAACTGAGTTAAAGAGAAAAGAATGAAATAATGCATAAGTTATTAGCTCTATTACTTGTAGATCATGAATTTATGAATTTGTAGGAAGATATAGCAGTCAGTTTTAGCATTGTTTTAATGGGAAAATGTTGTAACGTTCTAAATAATGTTTACTTAACTGAGAAACATTTATTAAGCATTCCCTAACACTGTTCAGATTTATGTGGCACTTAACCTAGTATGGTCTTACTTCAGGGGCTGCTATAATGAAGTATCCCCATCTGAGTAGCTCCTGGACAACAGAAATTTAGTGTTTGTAGCCCTGAAGGATAGGAAGGCTAAGGCACCACGGCTGTGGTTTGGTCTGGTGAAAATTCAGTTCATGGTACATAGGTGGCGCCTTCTCCCTGTGTCCTTACGTGATAGAAGGGACAAGGCAACTTACTGGGGCCCCTTTTTAGTAAGGACACTAACTTAATAAGGACACTAATTCCATCCATGAGGCTCCACCCTCATCATCTAATCTCAAAAACCATTTTATACCCTCACAGTAGTGACTAGGGTGTGTGTGTGTGTGTGTGTGTGTGTGTGTGTGATATGAAGGGCAAAATTTTAGAGACATTTGTTAATCTTTTTTTCTCCAAACTTGGCTTATCAACAGCTTCCAAAGAACCAATCACACAAGTACATTTAGTTTAAGCAACTGTATCTGTTTCTTTTTAAAATGTATATATTAATTAAAACTATACATTATAAATATAATTATAATATATATGAATGTGTATTAATATATGATTTCTGTATTAATTTTATGTTTTGTTCTTTTTTCCCCTTTTATTAAACATAGATTCTTTACAGTTTCCTGTCCTCTACTCCTCCTGGTTCCTCCTACCTCCACTCCCTTTCTGTCTCTCACTAGAAAAGAACAGGTGTCTAGGAGATGACAGCCAAACATAAATATAATTATAAGTAATATAAAAATAAAGCATAGTAAGATAAAACAAAAACATCATATCAAAGTTGGACAAAACAAGCAAACAGACAAATAAAAGAATCCCAAGAGAAGGCACAAGAATCCGAGACCCACTCGTTCACACGTTGGGGATCCCATAAAAACACTAAGCTAAAAGCTGTAGTATGTATGCAGGGGACCTGCTGCAGACCCGTGCAGACCCTGCGATTGCTGCTTCAGTCTCTGAGTTCGTATGAGCTTTGTTCTCCTGGTGTCCTCTAACCCCCCCCTTCTCCCCCACTACTGCTGCTTCCTCCTCTTCCCTAGGGTTCCCCAAGCTCTGAGAGGAAGGATTTGATGGAGACAGATAATAAATCCTGAGCCCTCTGCTGCTGGAGTCCTATGATCAGAATAGAATAGCATGATTCGTGCCGCCATGAAAGTATGTGGATAGTACATCGAAGAGATAACATTGATTTTACCTTAAGACTTCCAGAAGGGCTTCATAAAGGAAGTGACATTGTGTTAAAATGTTAAGCACTAGCCAAAAGGAAATCATGCCAGTCCCACATCAGAATGCAGCAGGCATATATGTTAACAGCACTCTGAGTAATTCAGTATGGCTGGAACACATAGGACACTGGGCAGCCTGGGAGAGAATTAAGAGATAAGACTAAAGGAGAGACCTGGAGGCCGGATGTAGACTTGTGTGACTGTACAGCTTTACTTTTTCTCACCGGTGCTACTCTACCTGACAGAAGCAACTTGAAAGAGGAAGAATTTATTTTGGTTCACAGTTTCAGAGGGCCTCGCTGTGGTGGCAGGGGAGCCGTGGTGGCAGGGAAGGCTGAGTCTGTGGCGTCAAGAGCGTCAAGAGCTAGTCACATGGCCTGGAGTAGGAAGCAGAAAGAAAGGGACCAGAAGCAGGGCCAAGTATAACTCTGTGAGTGTGTGTGCGTGTGTGTGCGCGTGTGTGTGCAGGCACGTGCACATCGTCCTGTAACACATTCCACCTTATTCCCACCTCTAGTGGCCTACTTTGCTAGCCAGGCTCCACAGGCTTCAAAATAGCACCACAAGCTTGGAAACAAGTGCTCAAAATACAAGCCTGAGAAGTTATTTTAGATTCTAACACGAGTGTCCTATTGAAGTGTCTCAATAGTCTTTATAATTACGACAGCTACTTACTGTTGACAGATCGTATACAATGCTGTCTCACTTAATATTCCTACCCTATGACGTACTAACATTGCTGCTTTATGGAAGAGAATTCTCAGGACCAGAGTGACTACTGGCAGTTAGCTTGCCCACAGCTAAGAAATGACAAGTTTAGATGCCAGCCAAGAACTTTGACCCACGCTTTTAACTGTTACAGGATGTTATTACTTTATTCTCTTGGCAGTGGATGATGGAGGTGTCAGGGAGGGGACATAGCAGGTGATGTTAATAATCTCCTTTTATATGTTTGCTGGCCCAACACCTGTCTGCCATTATATGTGAATTAATTGCCTGGCCAGGCTCTGAAACTTCCTGCAAATGGGGTCATGCATTAATACCAGGAAATGATATTTCCCTGCCCCACCCTGAGCAGTCTTCAAGTTAAGGTAATAAAGAACTGAGCTGAGTGACAGGAGTGGACAGGAGACCCCCAGCTTCTTCGCTTGTTGAGTGGAGTAACTGAGAGTTCCTGACCCAGCTGCAGTTTCTCCGCAGGGTCAGTTTGAGTTGTCCCCATGGTAATTTGCCTCACAACCCAAACTCTTTTGGTTCCCTTCTGTCTTCCTCCCCACGACCCACCTTTTTTTTTTTGGAATTACCTTCAAAATGAACTAATCCAAACCTTGTTTCCAAATCTGCTTCTGGCCATACCCAAATTAAGATAGGGAATAGTAGGAATAGTTTGGCATGTTCATTTGCTATTGTTTTTCATGACTAAAAAACACATGCTACATATTTACACACGTGTATGTGTTTGTGTATATGAAGAAGGCTTATGAAAAACTTAGGAGGATTAGTTTATACCTTCTCCACTTGGCACAGTAGCCATTATTTTCTTCTGTAACTTTTCAAATTCATTAAGTCCAAAGAAGTGATATTTTCCATTTTAACAATGGAAGTTAAGCTTTTCCATATAAATTTTTAGTTCATAATATTTTGCCCATTTTTCCTTTATCTTTTCTGCATTTTAAGATTACCAATAACTTATGGCTGTCATATATTGCAAAAACAAGTCTGTATCTTGGTTATATAACTTACATAGTTTTAAACTTTCAAAGTTTTGATAGTTTATTTAGCCAAATTCATTAATCTTTTTTGTATGTTTTCTACCTTTAATGTACTATTTATTCAGTCCATGATTGTAAGGCAATATGGCTATTAAATGGCACATCCTGGAATCTTCAGAGATCCTAAAGAGTCCATAAATACTCTATTCTTGGAGTTTATTTTGGTAAAATAACAAGTTTCATTTTCTTTTAACTAGGTGAGTAGCTGTGCCTGATAACCCTTATTAGTCAGCCTTAACTTTGCAAAATGATCTCCACGTACCTTTAAAAATGAAAACCTCAGGTTGTTTCACATAACTGAAAAATCAGGTTGTTTCGTGGCTAATTAGGATTTATGTGGTTAAGTCCCCTCACTTTCCCGGTATCTTCCTGTGTGACTCAAAATGTTGCATCCATCCCTGAGCCTTACATTACATGATGATAAGTCAGCTTAAGAGACAGCCACAGTTAGTTATTGTAACCACATTAGAAAGAAAATCCTGTGGGCTGGAGACGTGGTTCAGTGGTTAAGAGCACTTTGCTTTTCGTTAGGCACTTTTTTAAAGTTGCTCTTTGCCAAGGGTCTTTGTTCGATTCCTAGTACACACATGGCAGCTGACAGCCCTGTAACTCCAGTTTCAGGAGATCTGATGACCTCTTCTAAACTCCGTGGGCACCAAGCACACACATTGTGCACAGATATGTATGTGAGCAAAACACTTGTACACAGACATGAATCCAGAAGGAAAGCCTGAATGGACAGCCTAAGTTTCTGTTTGTGGCGAGAGACATGCTATAGACAAATTAACTTACATTTTGATACCCACATGTCTGTGGTAAGCAAATGTGGGGATCCAAAATGGTGGTGGTCTCTCCAGGTTCACTTGAATCACATAGTTGCTGCTGAGTAGGATTCCATACTGCCTACTGTTTTGAAATATTCCAAGTCATTGGTTTTGTTTTGGTTTGGTTTGGTTTGGTTTGGTTTTTTGCATTCTTAAGGTATTTTGACCCAGCTCTAGAGTAAAACATCGAGTCATATGGTACTCCTATGTTATCCACACTGTTTAAATTATTACATCTTTGTAAAACCTTTGAGGCCATGTTCTCTCCTCATTACTATGTACTGGGAAGATTTCCTGCCTGCAGGGAACAGGGCATGTTAAATGAGAACATGGAGATGGGGTCTGTAGTTCTAGATGGTAGAAACGTCTACAGAACAAGTAGAACTTCCCTTTATATTTGCTATTGAGCATATATATTTCAGGATAATTGCTTATTTTACAATATTGTGTCATAGTAAGTTTATTCAAATTTTTTTCTGTATAGTTGTATGGTTTTCACTTTTTAAGTTTATTCTTATATAGCTTTTTTATGGCTATTGAGCCTATTACCTTTTCCATAGTATTTAAAATAGCTATTCCTGTGTTGACCATTTTGTTTTAAAAGTCTGCCTTTTGCTGGGCAGTGGTGCTGCACACCTTTAATCCCAGCACTAGGTAGGCAGAGCAAGGCGGATCTCTGTGAGTCCGAGACCAGCTTGGTCTACAGAGTGAGATCCAGGACAAGCACCAAAAACTACACAGAGAAACCCTGTCTCAAAAAAACAAAAAATAAAACAAGAGTCTGCCTTTTGTATGTGTGTAGAAACAAAATTGTAATATAGTAAGGAGCCTCATGAAGTGGGCTGGCACGGTAGATTGTCAGCATAGCACTGCTGACATTTTGAGCTAGTTCCCTTGTGTTGGATTAACCTGTGTGTTGTAGGATGCTTAGCAATATTCCTGGCCTCTAACCTACAGTGTAGCCAACATGTAGTCATTTAGGTGCATATTGGTCAGTAAAAAGCCAGACCAAGAAGACAAATGTTTGATTATTCCATCCCTACGACATTCAGAAAAGACAAACCTGTGGAGCGACTAAGTGGTTGACTGTAAAGCGGCTGCACAGGAGAGCCCTTAGTGTGGAAGACCAGTTCTTCACTGTGTGGAGTGGTTGATACATCACCTTATGCATCTGTCAGAACCCAAAGAGCCACAAGTCTCGGAGTAAATAGTAACATTTGCAAGCTAGGGGAGGAAAGGTATCAAACAGCCTGTCAGACATTAGTCCCAGGACAGAATTGAGACTGATTAATGAACCCAGTTCTGTTATAAACAAAGAACACAGCTGTATTAAAGGAAGTGGGGAAGGGCATGTCCTAAGTAACTAGGAAATAGTGTTTTAACTGGAAACTGTAAGGGTAAAGATAAAGGTACAAAAACCCCATGCTCTGATGGATAGGTCTGTTTTCCAGGGTATACTAGTTCTGAAACCACTGTGCATGTGTACTGGTGTTGAGCAAATCTTCCTTCTCCCTGGTGAAGGAGGAGAATGGAAACAGAATGAACACTGATTCTGACCTAGGACTGTAAGCATCAAGAGGTGCTATGCTCTGCACGGCTCCAGGGATTCACCTGAGGCAGAAAGGAATGAAGAAATGGCATACACATGGACGCACACAGACTGCTCTCCACTAGAGAAGCTGCAGCACCCCGGAAGCTCAGCGTGTTTATTGTAGGCAGTAGAATGGGGAGGTGGGGTTGTTGTATATAGCTGGATAAGGAGGCAGGAACAGTCTCTAGGGTGTAGGAGTGTGTGTGTGTGTGTGTGTGTGTGTGTGTGTGTGTGTGTGTGTGTGTGTGTGTTGAAAGTAAAGTGGCCATTTTCTGCACACACTGTCAGTATTTTGACTGGAAGAAGGCTTTGTTGACCCATGAGGCTGAGGCACTGGGGTCCTTACATGGATTTCCCCATGTCAAGCAATACTCATTTACTCGGGACTTACTTCCTAGATTGTAGAACTCAACGTTTTGCTTCCTTCCATATCTGTGGGAAGATTCAGGGACAATCATGGTCATGTAAGTATATGTGTTGGTTGTGGGGTGTGTCTCTGTCTCTGTCTCTGTCTCTCTCTCTGTCTCTGTCTCTGTCTCTCTCTCTCTCTCTCTCTTTCCCCCTTTGGCTCATAGTTTGAGAAGTACATTGTGGCAGGGAAGGCATAGTGGAATTCTATACTGTAATATTATGGGGTCTACTTCTGTCTTTTGTCTTCTCTATCCAAGAACTTTACATACAACTTGTTTTAAAATCATTCTTGCAACCATATGGTATGTCTATTGACCTGATTTTATACATGTAGAAGCAAAAGCTCAAAAAATACTGAGTAACTTACCCAAAAGTACACAATAGGTACTTTGTCAAATCAGTCCATACCTTCTATACAAGTGAAGTAACTAAAACCTGAAGTGAAAATGGATCAAATTTTTGAACAAGTATGTGTAGGCTTCGGATTGATTTTATGGCAGTTTTAAGGAAGTTTGAAACATCAAGGCAGGCAGCTCATCTTTTGTATACTGTGTGTCTTCCTATTTCAAACTCAGGTTTCTTAATTGTCGGCAGAAACTACAGAATTCAATAGGCAAAGGTTTGGTAACTTAACTGTGGTACTTTCTGTTTCAGGCAGAAAATGTCGCCGTCACAAAGGATATTAGAAGAGTAGAAAATGCTTATCACATGGAAGCCGAGGTACGCACTGAGTGATGGAAAGCACCTTGACCGTGGGGCAGCTGCAATTTAGGTGTAGTGTTGCGCTGAAACTTACCAGAGAGATGAGTCTTATGGTGATGATCAAAAATGCTTTTTCTCAAACTCGTTCTGAGAATATGTGTCTGGTGATGCATTAAAACAAATTTAATGAGATCTACTTAAGAGAAATGATGTCAAATGAAATAGAAACAACAATAGGGAAAAAGCAGCTAAATACTGCAGACTTTTGGAAGTATTATTGGCTGGTGAGCAGAAGTCACTACAGAAAAGAAATTTTCCTTAGATTAAAATTTACATGAAAAAGCTGTAAAGCTTGAGACACTTTTAAAACATTCTTTTGTTTCTCAACACAATTCCATGGTCACTGTGATAAAAAGCATTTAAATTTTAAATCATGCAGTCTTTATCCACATAAGCAGCACACTGTTTTCAGAATGTTCAATCCTTGCTGACTGAGGTCCCAGCATGCTGTGCTTCTCACTCTGAGGGCGGGCGGTCAGGATTTATATCATAGTATGTCTAGTAGTGTAAAACAGCTGTTTCTGACTTTCATGTTTTCACGAGACACTTAGTCCAGCTGCCACCTTGTCACAGGAAACAAAGAGGACCTAGTTAGAATAGAGTCTTGTCTACCAGAGAGACTCTTCCTCTCCAGAGGTAGAAAACCTCCGGAAGCACCGGGTGCTCTCCTGTCAGTCAATGTGATGGTGCTTCCTAGCACTAAGATTAAGGTTAGATCACGGGGGCTCCTACTTCTCAGAGATGAAGTGTAAGATCAGAGTGTCAGGACAGAATGGACATTGGAAAGGTGACTCCTTGTCCCTTGGGATAGGAATTTCAACAATAAACAGTCATCTTTATAAGCTTTGTGATGGCTCATCTAAAATTTAACTATCTGCAGGAAATTTACAATTATTCATTGTGGCCTTAGGCATTCATTTGACATAGATTATTTTGACAGAATGAAGAGTTGTCAGGCAGGATTCTAAATTATAGAGGTTTGATGTTAGTGGGATAGTAGATCCCTCTAAGGGTTCTACCCATTAGGAATTCAGGTTGTAATGAATATAGGAGCAGGCAATCCTAGTTAGGAGGGCAGAGATTTTGTTGCTCTTTATTTTTATGTAGCCCACACTAGCCTCAAGTTTAGGCTCTTCCTATGTCAGTTTTCTGAGTGCTGGGATTACAGTCCAGCCCATCACTCCTAGTTATACTTAGGTTTATTATTATAAAGGCTCACCAAGAGCTCAGGGGAAGAGATTGTTCTAAAACTGAACAAGGGATGGAAAACTGGAGGGTTTTTCAGATCATTGAGTTGTTTTAAGGCTAAAGTTACCAGTTCAGCATGGCAATACATGCTTAGTCCATTTCTAATATTATACAAAGCTTCAGAATACTAAAGATGATAGAACTACTATGGTTTTAGTAGGACAGTAGCTTACAGGTTGTGGTCCAGTTAGTCTCACAATGGAAAGGCCAACAATCTGGTAGTTGCTCAGTCCATGAGGCTGGGTGTCTCCGGTGGTCTTCAGTCTACATTAGAATCCTAGAGAAGGAGGTTCTAAATGCTGGTGAAGGAACGGACTCACCAGCGAGGGTGAGGGCAAGCAGACAAAGAGCAAAAGCTTCTTTCATCCTGTCCAGCTGCTTGGCTCTTAGCTGATTCCAGATGGAGTCCGGTTGACAACCAAGATTAGCCAACGCAACAAGAAACCAGTAAAAATAGAAGTTTTTGACTAATACTATCAGCCAGCCTGACCTGCTTGACATTTATAGATGACTTAGTCCCCAAACCATGCACCCATGCCTTCATCTGGAGCGTTTTCCAAGACAGATTATGTTCTGGGCCAGTAGCCTTAAGCACAGTTGAAACATGCACAGTACATTCTCTAGCCATAGAGGAATTATGTTAGAAACCAATAGAAAGAAAGTTCTCTGCAAGAGCCTGCAAATATTTGGAATTTCAGTACCATGCTTTTCAGTAACACATGTATTAAAGAAGAAATTGAAAGGAAATTAAAAAGTGTATAAGTAAGTTTAAAAAAGACATCATTCCAACTGTGTAGACCTTTCCAGAAACTGAAAAAGGCATAATACTTTCCAGCTCATTCTTTGGAGTCAGAAGATAGTAAAACTTGGTGTGCGTGGAGTGTGGGGCAAATATCAGAAAGAAAACTATATATCATTATCAATCAGATGTTTTAAATTATAAACGAAGTTTTAGCAAATCCAATTCAGTTATATCTATACACATAAGAGTGGTTCATTTTAATTGTCAATTTGATATAATCTAGAATCACTTGAGATTCTCAATGAGGGATTGTCCAGATCAGGCTGGCCTGTGCACATCTGTGGAGGATTGTCTTGATTATGTTAATGATGTAGAAGACCCAGCCCACCATGAGCGGTCCCAGTCTCTGTATTTGGGTTCTGGACTCTGAAAATGGAGAAAGTGAGCTGAGTGGTCGGTCAACATACAGACGTTCATTCGCTCTGCTCTTGACTGGATGTCACTGGCTGCCTCATGTTCCTGTGTTGGCTTCCCTCAGTGCTGGATTGTAACCTGGAATTTTAAAACAAATAAACCTTTTCCCTCTTCAAGTTGTTTTGGTCAGGGTTTTATTACAGCAACAGGACACTAGGCCTCAGATACATACACAAGAAATCATAATAGCCAAGTAAGATTTATCCTAAGCATAAAAGGTTGGTTTAACATTTGAAAAAAATTGATCATTTTGAGTCGCCATATTAAGAAACCAAAAGAGAAAAATGACAGGTTCATTCTGGTAGATGCAGAAAAAGCATTTAATAAAATGCCATCATCAATTCTTAACAAAATTCTTAATAAAATTTAATAAAAAATAACAAAAATTCTCTGCAAGCCCAGTATAGTGGCATATAACTTTAATCTCAGTACTAGGGAGACAGAGGCAGGCCGAGCTCTGTGAGTTTTGGGCCAGCCTGGCCTACGTAGTGAGACCCTGTCTCACTGTATCAAAATTAATCAATTTGATAAGGAGCATCTATTTAAAAAACTGCAGGTAACGTTATGCCTTTATAATGAAATACTGAATACTTTGTGCTTAAGATCAGTTACCATATAAAGATGATGGCTACTCTTATGGCTTCTTTTTAACATTATACTTGAAATTCTAGTCAGTGTAGTTTGGGAAGGGGACAGACAAGAATAAAAATATCCAAACTGAGAAGGAAGAAATAAAACACTTCATTTAGGAGCAACACTACCATCTATCTAGAAAATGTTATGGGAAAAAAAATCTACTGGAAGTAATAAGCATAAATTTTAAATGTCAAGGGATACAGCTGATAAAATATGCTAAAAATCATAAAACATTTCTGAGAGAAAGAACTAAATAAGTGGAGAAATGTATCTTGTTTGTATTTGGAAGACCCAACATTATTGATTCTTGTTCTCCCTAAAGTGAGTTATACATAGATTTATTACAATCCTATTCCAAATCCTAGCTAGCTTTTAAAAATAGAAATTGGCAAACTGAGTCAAAAATACATTCAGAAATGCAGAGTATCTCCAACCACTTTGAAAAAGCATCTTTAGTTATAATAGCCTCAAACTAGAAACGAATGTTTCAGACAAACTGTGGTTTTATCCACATAACAGAACTCCACATAGAGTAAAACAGTTATGCAGGAAATGGCTGGAACTGCACGTGCAATGCGCCAAGTTAAAGGAGTCTCCAAAGATGGCATATTCCTGGAAGAGGCAGGTCTGTCAATCAGGCACGGGTTGGTTAACTGCCAAGGGCCTGGGAGTTGAGGAGCAACCAGTAATAAAATTAAAGGAGATTTGTGAAGTAATGGGACAGATCTAATTATTTAGAAGAAGGAGGAGGGTTCATGGCCCAGGGGAAGACTTGGAACAGCTCACCTCCAAGGACCTCTAAAGCCCAGGAGCCAGCTCCACAGCATACTGGAGAGTCTTCAGTCTGACTGGAACAAGCTGGGGGTCTCCACAGTTGCCAAAAGGCCAGCGAGAAGCCCATCACCAGGCAGATTGTGACCATCCTGGGGAAGACACGTCACCCTGAGCACTTCCTCTGCATCTATAGCCAATAAGAGCTCAGATCCTGGAACTTCTCTGAGGTGCTGACACTTCTGTTCCTCGTATGGAAGTGTTCGTAAGAAGAGGGAGAAGCCTGCTGCTGGACACATTATTCTGACAGTTTGCACCCAAGTGTGGTGGCTGTGTTGGAGCCATCCTGGACAACTACATCCCACTCTATGGCACCCTGAGTGCATGTGTGCTGGGAGTATTTCCCGCTTTTTGTCAGCAGCTTCTTTGAGCAAATGGGCAGCAGTACTTGGAGGCGTACTGCCATGGGCAGCGGGATTTTGTTCTCCTGTTATCAGCTGCTGCATCAAGAGCAGGGCCGAGAAGTTCCACCCCAAACACTTGAAGTCAGTGCCTTCTACCTCAAGCTCCTCAACAAAGGCCTCTTCCAAGAATCAAACAGCAGCCTCACTGCCGGAGCTTCCTCACGCTCTTCTACATTGACCTCCTTCATCTGCCTCTTTCCCCAACTGCTGCTGGGACCCAGAGACCCAGGGGTGATGGGGCACATCCAACAGAAACTAGAACCTTGCCATCATCAGGTGCTGGCACAAGACAGGACCAGGATGTTGGGATCTTGCCAGGTTCAGTTCTCTAGAACCTGAGAGGCCTCCTTTCCTGTTCTGTGGCTATCCCTCCCAGGCTTCCTGCTTGTTTTTCCCAGAGAAGAAAACTGGGACCCAATCGGCTCCATGTGCATCCCTACAAATGACCTGGCCAGACCAGGCTAAGTCAGCACACCACACTGAGGCCCCTCACACTCAAATTTAACTAGTGGAGTCAGCGTGGGAGAGCAGACAGGATCAGCAGAAGCCACACACACACACACACACACACACACACACACACACACACACCCTTGTTTCTCCCACCCCTATGACCTTGAGACTACTAGGGACACCTGGCCCCCTCATAAACCCCTCCATCCAAGGATGGATGTGCCCACAGGCCACTGAAGGTCTTTGGGTTTCCACTTTACCATCTCCCAGGATTTGAATGACTGCCTTACTTCCTCATTGCCCCTTTTATACATGCCTCAGGATTACTGAAAAGGGACTCTCCAGCAATAATGTTTCATAGTCATTTTCTCCATCTCTGGGGATGTTGTGAGGTGGGGAATGTTGCCCCTTGCCTCAACACTACACATGTCTCAGCACTACCAAATTTATAGATTCATTTATTGAGGTTTTAATTTGGATTGCTTAAGTTGATTTTACTTCTCTATGCAGGTGATTTTGAAGACAGTTTAAAGATAGCCCCTTTTGGTTCTTGTATTCTTGCGGCAACCTTGGCTTTGCTATGGGGGGAGCAATTTGTTTTGTTTCTTCTGAGAACAAGCCAATTAAGTTGGGAAAAGCTCTTGACCTCTTTTGGAACTTCACAGCTCCGTCTTACCCAGGACTGTTTTTAAACAGCTATATTTTAAAACATCTTCCTTACTGCTCAGGGCAAGAAGCTCTTAATTAAACCTGGCTTAAGGGGATTTGACCTTTTTGGACCTGGAATTCTGAATCTCATCTGCCCTGCCTGTGGGGGTCCACAGAGGCTCTCTAGTGAGACCTTACTCAGGGTCAGAGAACCTGGGCTTGCTTTACCCAGTAGGGCTGCATAATGGGATGATTTGGCTACAGGTGTGGTTACCAGGTGTTTTGAAGGGTCTACAATTGGCTGTGCATTGTGTTTTGATCTTGAAAGGGGAGGTCTTTTGTCTCACCCCTTGGCATTGTATAAAAAGCCCTTTGGAATAAAACTTGAGGCTAACATTTTAAGATATAAAGGAATCAGGCCGGGCAGTGGTGGCGCACGCCTTTAATCCCAGCACTCGGGAGGCAGAGCCGGGCGGATCTCTGTGAGTTCAAGGCCAGCTCCAGGAAAGGCGCAAAGCTACGCAGAGAAACCCTGTCTCGGAAAAAAAAAAAAACTTGAGGCGACTGGGTATTGACCCAGGGCCTTCCCGAAGCTATCCTGTGTCGCTGTCTTTCCTGTCATCTAGTATGTATTTCTATAATACTTCCTCATTCATCTCTCCTCCCCACGTGAACCCTTCTGCGGGTTGGACTGACACCTGCCCAAGGAAGGCAAAGGGGAAAGTACATGTTGTGGGGCCAGTTCCTGTCTGAGTAAGCCATCGGGAAGCCTGGGTTCCCCCATGAACCTGTTGGCAACAAAGAAAACCCACAGAACACATATAGCCCCTTAATGCTTCTCTGAGGCTCACCCTTCTGCCTTCTCATGAGAACTGATGTCTGATTTTGACCCAGAAGACCATAAATGTCTCTGGTCTTGATTCCATTGGGTACATCACTTCCTCAAACTTCCTGGAGACTGGGCAGAGGTGGTTCCCTTTTCACGGGTGAGATTCATGCTAGGAGCATCTGAAAAGAAGGCCCCAAGTTTATGCAGGGGAGGAGTCTAGTAGGGTTTGAGGTGAAGGACAAGATCTTATCAGAGCAACAGGAAGCTGCATAGTTCTGTAGTAGGCTTTTTTGGACCACCAGCCCAAAATCATGACACAGAGACTTATTAATTATGAAAGCTTGGCCATAGCTTAGGCTTGTTCCTAACTAGCTCTTATAACTTAAATTAACCCATTCCTATTAATCTATGTGCTGCCGCATGGCTCGTGGCTTCTACCTCTCCTCTTGCATGTCCTGCTTGCTCTGCATCCGTCTGGCTCCTCTGCCTTTCTTCTTCCCCAAGACCTCTCTGTCCTCAGAAGTCCCACCTAACCTCTTTCTGCCTAGATATTGGCCATTCAGCTCTTTATTAAACCAGTCACAGTGACACATCTTCACAGTGTAAAGGAATATTTCACATTTCCCCCTTGTCTAAATAAAAATGAAAGGTTTTTTAACTCTAACATAATAAAACTATAAATACAAAAAAAAAAAA